TTTTTTTTCAAGATTCTTAATGAATAAAGAGTTCAAAAGAACAGCATTTATTATAAAGCAATTCATGTATGATATATTGAACTATGTTCTCACCAGCATCATTCTCAGGCACTGACGATGTGGTCCAAACACCTGTCCCTGCAAGTATACGATCCAGCACGAGTCTGGACTCATTCGAGGGCTTGAAACAGACACACCTTCAGCTGACAAGCACTCTGGCAAAGACAGGTCATATTGGACAAAGAGAGGTTACAGGACCAAGAGTTCAAGTTTCACAAAACTGTATACAAGTCAAAGCCCAAAGAGTGAAGAAAAGGCACATAAAAAGGTGCTTACACATAAACCCTCCTATAAAGATACTTACCACAGTTTCCTTTCATATCCAGGTAGTAGAGAGCTGATCTGGAAAAAGAAAAAGAATCGGAATTAATTCTCTAATATAAGCATCTTATTAAATACTAGCACTTTAGGGATTGTGGGATTATTACTGGATCAATAGTTCCAAGGAAAAATAATAGATGTTGAAGTTATTTTTAACTCCGCCCCTCACCTACGATTAGAGCAGAATTTCAGGCCCAGTCTGAACGGCTCATTCCATTGGCCCACAAACACCACACCCCTTCCATTAGGTGCCCACAGAGCCTTATGAAAGAACAAGGAGTATTTTATAATTCAGTTAACATTTACAACAATTGAATTTGAGATTGCTGATATAATATTTCCCATGTGTGGCATAACATACTTGATTATCAATTAAACAAATGAGAATTGTAATATACATCTGACTCACCTGTCCTGGTGATATATGCGGAGGGACGCCAGCATATACGATAACTGCCCCTTTGTTGAGATCAGCCACACACAAGACAGGACAGCTCTTACCCACCAGACCTTCACCCCAGTCTTCAACATATATGTTCTTATCCTGAGAAATGCACACATGACTTTTTCAAAAGCCTTAAACGCATATCTTCAAAATGTCTAGCCATAACGGTTACTGTATAAAAGTATATATGGGAGAAGACATTTCACCTGTTCCTCAAGCAACACTAGCCCACCATCCTCATTGGCTGATGCAACTGATGAATGTGCTGATGGCTCCACCCTCTTTTTTTCCGCCACATAGAGCAACTTTTTTTCACATGGTGACCAGGCCAGACATGCAAACTGAGCTAATGACACACAAAAAAACTAAGTACACGCAATCAGACTGATATCCTTAAACAATGATCTGGGCTCCAGACTGAAAAAAGACCAGAGAGCCACTGGCTACTATAAAGAATCATTAGTTTCCAAATTACAGAATGACTCAGCATAAATGTGCATCTTCAACTTCACAACCATTCAAAAGTTTGGGGTCGGTAACATTTGTAAATATTTTTTTAAATAAGTCTCTCATGTTTAACAGCGCTGCACTTATTTGATCAAATATACAGTAAAACAGTAATATTGTGAAACATTATTACCATTTTAAATAACTGTTTTCAATTTCAAAATGTAAGTTATCTTGTGATGGCCAAGCTGAATTTTCAGCAGCCAATGCCAAAAAGCCAAAGTCATGATATTTCAGAAAACATTCTAATACTGTATGCTGATTTGGTGCTCTAGAAGCATTTCTTGTTATCAATTTTGAAAACAATTGCTCTGCTTAATATTTTTGTGTAAACTGAGATACATGTTTTCAAGATTTTTGGATGAATATAAAGTTCTAAAGAACAGAATTTCTTTGAAATAAAAATCTTTTGTTAAATTATATATGGCTTTATTGTCAACTTTGATCAATTTGATGCATTCTTGTCTCATGAACCTTAAGTAAAGCTCAAAGTTAGTACAAGTTAATTTCTATAAGACAGTTAGTGATTTGAAACCCCTGGTGTATAACATGGACAACAAAAAGTGTTTCTTACCATCTTCATACACTTTTCCATGTTTATTTAGAGCTGTAAGGTCCAAACTTTTCTCCAGACCATTTTGGCCCCAAACCTACCAAATGAAAAAAAA